TAAACACTTCTTGTCTTCACTGTGTCGTCTTAATAAACCCTTTTAATCCGATCTTGAACGGATTCCGATGCAAAAAAAATGGCAAATCCTACTCTAAAATCCTTCATAACGGCGGCAACTCTGTTTCTGTCTCTGTTTCTCTTCTCTCCGTCGTCTGTGGCTGTTGATTTCTTAACAGCCTCACAAAACCTCACCGGCGCCGCCACTCTGGTGTCGGAGAAAGGGTTTTTCGAACTGGGTTTCTTCAGCACTAGAAATTCCACGAACGTTTACTTGGGAATTTGGTACAAAATCATCCCAATACGTACGATCGTTTGGGTTGCGAACAGGGAAAATCCCATTATTGATTCTTCCGCTGCTGTTCTTAAAATCAACACTACAACGAATATTCTTGTTCTCTTGCAGGATAACTCCGTTGTTTGGCTTGCAAATACGTCGAAACCGGTAGAGATTCCGAAACTCCAGCTCTTGGACAATGGAAATCTGGTTTTGAAGGACGCTAAATCGGAGGTAATTTCATGGCAGAGCTTCGATTATCCAACGGATACATTACTCCCCGGAATGAAGCTTGGATGGGACTTCGAAAATGGAATCCAACGCCGGTTATCAGCATGGAAAAGCTCCGATGACCCATCTCCGGGGAGTTTAACCATGGAAATGATGAACACAAACTACCCAGAACCGGCGATGTGGAATGGCTCGAAAGAGTTCATGAGGAGTGGACCATGGAACGGTCTTCAATTCAGCGCAAAACCCACCTCGGCCTTACCGATTTTGGTCTACAGCTACGTAAACAACAAATCCGAGCTCTCTTACAGCTATGAGCTCATAAACTCCTCATTAATCGGAAGAATGGTGCTGAATCAGACGCTGACGAGAAGAGAGGCATTGATATGGTCGGATTCTGAGAAGATTTGGAAGCTATATGCAACTATGCCGAGGGATTACTGCGATACCTACGGGCTTTGTGGCGCGTTTGGGAGCTGCAACATTGAGCTAACACCAGCTTGTCAATGTCTACAAGGGTTTCATCCAAAAGTGCCTGAGAAGTGGAATTTGATGGATTATGCTGATGGGTGTGTAAGAAATAAGCCTTTGAATTGTTCTTCTACTGATAAAATTGGGTTTGCGCAGATTCCTGGGCTGAAATTGCCTGATACCCATCTAACTTGGGTTAATGAGAGCATGAGCTTAAACGAGTGTAGAGACAAGTGTTTGAGGAACTGTTCTTGTGTGGCGTTTGCCAATACTGATATGAGGGGCTCAGGGAGTGGCTGCGCTATTTGGCTTGGGGATCTTGTTGATATCAAAGTGGTTCGAAGAGGGGGGCAGGATTTGTATGTTAGGATGCTGGCTTCTGAATTGGGTATGTTGTTTTTGCTGTTCTTTGTGTTCTTTTGTGGCTTTCTTTGTTAGCTAAGCTTTGCTTCTTGTGTGTAGAGACGAAGAAGAAGAAGACGAGCTCGGTTGTCGTCGGCGTTATCATCGGAGCGACCATTCTGGTGATTGCTGGTCTGGTTTTGCTTGGGTTTTACATCATTAGAAGCAAGAGGAGAAGCCTTGAAGGTAAATTCTGTTCATACTGATAAGTTGATGGTAAAGATTAGTTCATGTGCTTATGAAGTCACTAAAATGGCAACAGGAATAGGCAAGGATCTTGGACAGCAAGAAGACTTGGAGCTTCCATTCTTGGACTTAGCAACCATATCCAATGCCACAGACAATTTTGCCAGCTACAATAAGCTTGGAGAAGGTGGCTTCGGTGCAGTTTTTCGGGTAAACTTTTATGTGTACCAAAGAAAACATGTTTTTAGATGCTTAGGGCTCAAACCCACCGCTAACAGATATTGTCTTCTTTAAGTTTTTTCTTTCGGGTTTCCCCTCAAGGTTTTAATGTGCCGTCTGCTAGGGAGAGGTTTCTGGACCTTATAAGGAATGTTTTGTTTCCCTCTCCAACTGATGTGGGATCTCAGAATCCACTCTTCTTGGGGCCCAACGTCCTCGTTGACATATCGCCCGGTGTCTGGCTTTGATATCATTTGTAATAGTCCCACATCTAGTCGATATTTATCTTCTTTGGATTTTTTTTGGAACTTCCTCTCAAGGTCATGTCTGCTAGGGAGAGGTTTCCACACCCTTATAAGGAATGTTTTCATTCTTCTCTCCAACTGATGTGAGATCTTACAATCCACCTCCTTGGGGCCAGTGCCTTGGCACATTGCTCGGCGTTTGGCTCTGATACCATTTGTAACAGTCGCATCGCTAACAGATATTGTCCTCTTTGAGCTTTTCTTTTTGGACTTCCCCTCAAGGTTTTAAAATGCGTTGGGAGAGATTTCCACACTCTTATAAGGAATGTTTTGTTTCCCTCTCCAACCGATGTGGGATCTCACAATCCACCCTCATTGGGGTCAGCGCCCTCATTGGTACATCACCCGGTGTCTGACTCTAATACCATTTGTAACAGTTTCACCACTAACAGATATTGTTCTCTTTAGGCTTTCCTTTCAGAACTTCCCTTCAAAGTTTTTAAACTCTTCTGTTAGGAGAAGTTTTCACACCCTTAAAAGGAATGTTTCGTTCCCCTCCTCAACTGATGTGAGATTTCACAGAAATCATTCCGAACATGTCTAAAAAGTCATTGATGAACTTACACTTCCACTTTCAGGGTAGGCTAGCAGATGGACAAGAAATTGCAGTAAAAAGACTTTCTAGCTATTCGAGACAAGGAACCGAAGAATTTAAGAACGAAGTCATACTCATCGCCAAACTTCAACATCGAAATCTCGTAAAACTTTTGGGTTGCTGCATCGAAGGGGATGAAAAGATGTTGATTTACGAGTACATGCCCAATAATAGTTTGGACTCCTTCATATTTGGTCGGTATCTATTAAGATCCAGCTCTATCGTTTTTGTTTCTCGTTGATTTCCATTTCGAGAACTAACTTCGACTACTCGTTTTAATCCGTCAGATACCGATAGAAAGAAGCTTTTAGATTGGTCGAAACGATTCAATATCATATGCGGAGTAGCTCGAGGGATTCTTTACCTTCATCAAGATTCAAGATTGAGGATTATACATAGAGATTTAAAAGCAAGTAACGTCTTGCTTGATATCGATATGAATCCAAAAATCTCGGATTTTGGAATGGCTAGAACGTTTGGAGGGGATCAAACTGAAGGAAATACTCGGAGAGTGGTCGGAACGTAGTAAGTTTCTCTCCCACGAAACTTCAAATTTTTTGAATCCTTAAGTTTCATGTTCTTCGGTTGACGGTTTTTATTTTTTTTGTTTGTATGATATCTTGTAGTGGGTATATGGCACCAGAATACGCCATTGACGGACAATTTTCCATCAAATCAGATGTCTTTAGTTTTGGGATTTTATTGTTGGAAATTGTAAGTGGAAAGAAGAATCGAGGAATTTTCCGCCCTAACCAAGCTCTCAACCTTATTGGACACGTGAGTCGCGTAATTCGATCAATCACTCCACAAGCTGCAATTCTAAGCTAATTAACGTGTTTTTTTTTTTTCGCTCAGGCATGGAAGTTGTGGAATGAAGGAAAACCATTAGAGTTGGTCGACGCTTGCATGGGAGAATCTTATGCTCTATCTGAAGTGTTGCGATGCATTCATGTTAGTCTTTTGTGCTTGCAACAGCATCCCGAGGATAGACCGACCATGTCGAATGTGGTATTAATGCTAAGTAGTGAGAGTACCTTGGCACAACCGAAACAACCGGGATTTTACATGGAAACGGGTCTTGTTGAAGCATATTCTCATTCTAGCAAGAACGAATTTTCTACTAATGAATTAACTATTACGCTCATGGAGGCTAGATAACTATATTACGCTCATGGAGGCTAGATAACTATGTATTTTCCTTGTATAGCTCTTTTTCAATGCTTTCGATTTGTTGATGATCATGAATAGAATAGACAAACGGGTAAGGCTCGTTTGCTAAACGACCCTTATCTCTTAAAGGGTTCAAAGAAGTCGAGAATCTATTTATATTTAGAGGATTTGAATACCAACGTCTAGCATTTTAGTGATACCTTTGTGAAGAGCTATGACCTCGATGAGTTCAATGAATCTTACTACAGTTTGGAAATTTTTCATCTCTTATTGATGATATTGGGGTATCTCATAAATCTAACCGAGGCTCGATTGGTATGTCTGTAGGGTTGAGCTATGAGAGAGAATACATCGTGGGCAACCAACAAATTGGGTTTGTAGCATTGTGAATCTCTCCACCGAACATAAGTGAGATGCCTTTGTGGCCGGTGTGCTAGCAAACATTAACTCGTTCCTCTTTCTAATCGATGTGGGATCTCACAATCCACTCACCTTTAGGGTCCAATGTCCACCCTCTTCAGGGCTCATGACACACTGCCAAATTAGGTCCCAACATCCTTTCTGGCACTCGTTCCCCTCTCCAATCAATGTGAGATCTCACAATCCACTCACCTTCAGGGCCCAATGTCCTCGTTGGCACACCGCCCGGTGTCACCTCCTTTAGGGCTTAGCGTCCTCGTTGACACACCACCCGATATCCACCCTCTTTGAGACTCAACGTCTTCGTTGGCACACCGCCTAGTAACCTGGCTCTAATACCATTTGTAACAGCTCAAGCCTACCGCTAACACATATTATCTTTTTTGGGTTTTCCATTTCGGGCTTCCGCTCAAGGATTTTAAAACATGTCTCATAGAGAGATTTCCACACCCTATAAGAGAATGCTTGGTTCACCTCCTCAACCGAGATCGAGTTAGTATAGAGCATACGAGTTGAGCTTGAAGCCCAATTAACCAACTATTTTATACATCCATAAAAATTGCAATATAATTGGATGAAAAGCTTGAAAAAACTTTTTTAAAAAAAATATGAATTAAAAAACTACTCCAATTTTGAATTATTTTTTAAAACACATTAATTAGAAATTAAAAAATACTCCTAAAAGCCGACCCTCGGATGTTAACAAAGAAAAGAACTGCTTTATTAATTATTATTATTCTTCTTTTCAATTAACCTTATCGTATGGGAATTCTCCGGAGATTTACTCTCAGCGGCTGCCGGCGATGATGAGAACGTCGGAATCAAAGCACCATGCGTCCATGTCTATAGAGGTTCAGTCCTACTTATTTCTCTCAAATTTGAAACTGAACTTCCTGATCTCCGATCCAGGGAGCATCATTTTGGGGCGCGAAGTGCAAGGTCTAGTTTGTGGATGATCCTTTTGGAATAATGGCGGCAGTCTCAGTTAAGCAATCGACTGCGGACAGTAATTGTTAGTCATTACTTCACCTGCTTGTTGTTGTTAAATTATCAAGAGTGACAATGAGTTATTGCTTCAGCTTTTAATTCATTTTGAATTGTACTTCTCAAAGTAATTATAGGCTAATTTATGCATTTGCTTTACCTGTCTTTTTATCAAGCTCAGGTTCTTAATGATTTTACTTGTCGTTCCTCAGAATTGAGTGCTTGCTCTGTTGTTTCTTTAAATTAGTCTGTTTGTGTCACATTTTTCTTCATATAGTCAATTAGTTCTAGGGATTTCGATGTCTTTGCTGTGATGGTGATGTTATACCATCGTTTTAGAATTTTTGAACTGATATGTTTAGAGGTAAGAAATTGTTCACTTATTGTTTTAAATAAAAGAAAGATACTGTCGTTGATTGTATGAAAAATACTATTGTAAAAGAAGCCACTGCGATTGGCAGAATCAGAATGGTGTTGTGATTAGGGGGAGGATAGCAAAAAGAGCGCAAACATTTTATCATTTTCGTTAATTTCCACCTGCTATTTCCTCAAAAGCTTCTTTCTTCCGTCTCCAACCAAACCTTAGTGCTTAATCACGCATAACCACAACACCTGTAGTTTCTCCTTGAAATGAATGCCATAAAAGAAGCCAGGGAATCTGTGCCATATACCTTAGTGAACAAATCTAGGCATAATTGAGAACTAATTGGTGGTGTGAAGTCCCGAATCTCTAAAACCCCAACAAACTGAATCTTCTCCAGAGCAAAAGTGGTGGCAGATATTCGATGTGAAGCTTCCATGGATTAAATTTTTGCTGCTTTCTTGAAGTGTTTGTTGCTCCTTATAGGATAGACTTCTGATCTTTGGATTTTCCCCTCACATTCATGTTCGTGAAGCCAGGTAGATCCCCTCTCTTAAAACAATTCTAGTTTAGAAAGAACTAAAATCTAATTGTTTTGACTAGTCTATGTATTCTAGTAAGTCATAATGCAAGCATATGTAGCCTCATTTATCCTATTTGAATGAAAGGATAGACATGAAAAGCTGGTAAACCTGTCGAGGTAAAAAAAGTTGGTGCTTTGTGTTAAATGTGGATTATGCTGTGTTAAACTCTCAAAATGGACTCTGATCAAAGTGTGAACTTCAAACCCAAAAGTTCTTATTTTCTATGTTTAGTAACCAGAAGAGAAATCATTTAGGCATTTCTTTTCCTCTATTTTCTGGATCAATGATGCATGCCACTGTTTTCTCACCGATCTAGTAGGTTGCTACTTCTGTGCACATAGTTTCTCAAGATTAATTATCTATCTGGAAGTTTCAGTGTTGATATAGCACTCAGTTATCTTATAGAAAGGGGTAATACTTATATTGCTGCCTTTGGTAATTGATACTGACATTTCTCATATCATAATTGGACTTTGGTAATTTATAATATACAAGTTATAGAATTGGAACAGCAATCAACAGTAGAACGAGAGAAGATGGTATTTCTTTTTTTGTAATAATAAACAGGAAGAAGTCTATACAGTTTCTTTCTTATTTATAGCTACCATTTAAATTTAATTATAATTATAAAACAACGTATGCATATCTATAATTGCATTTAATCCAAGTCCTAAATTCTATTAGAACAAGCCCAATGTGATCGCACTAGGTCCATTGAGTGCTGCTATGAGATTGAGGAAATTTTATTGAGCTTTCTTAATGGAAGAAACCAAGGTGACTGTAAATTCTCAGTTGATCGTGTCAACTCTCAAAGGAACTTCTGTAATGAATTTATGTTTTCTATGGGGTTGAGAAAACTGTGGACATGTTTATGTGTATTTGAAATTTCAGGCTGGTCACTTCAATTCCTTAGTGTTTTTCGCATGCTCAAGCAATTTACAATACGCCAAACTATTTACCATACTTATGCTGCTATTGTTATGTTTTTGGAATTCACAACTTGAGGATTGCTATTGTTATGATTTTGGTATTCACAACTTAAGGATACAGTTTTACATCCTATAAAACAGATCCTGTTCAAGTAAGGTCATTATTATATTTTTGGTATTGTAAAGCGATGAAAGGACTTTTAAGACATGTTGGCAATTTGAGATTTATTATCTTGGAGTAGAAATGGTAAAGCTGTAGATGTTGTTTTCTTGAATTGCTAGTTTGTCTAGAAGATTAAGGTTCTTCCTTGCAACTGTTTTCTTGTTCCTTCAAGTATATTTTATTCCCTTTTTTATCCTCTTGCATCTCAATTTTTAGTTATTGGTCAATATATTCGTGTTTTGTTTTATATTTTTTAATAAGACTATTGAGCAATTTTATTTAATCAAACTTTTTAAAGAGTTGAAATTGTGTTATTTCTTTTGAGTTTATCAATGCTATCCTATCCCTTTCCCCAGAAAACTAGTAGTAAGTCCTTTCAATGTCATTATCATCTGTCTAAAAGTGTGCTGTCCATTTCATTTTCTTTTCATGTTTTTCATTTCATCTGATGTAAATCCTAATCTGTGTGCTTTTTGGACTTCTTGAAAGCTATTGCATAGAAAAATGGAAGAAGTTTCTCCAAACTCCATTATCTTGAATTTCATATTAGTTTCCCATCAGATCAAGATTGATGTTTATATTTTTGGTCATATCACTTGTAATTCTCAGTAAGATAGAGATATTTCTCTTGTTCCTGTTTAGTAGTTTGACTTCAAATTCCCGTTCAACAAGTTTATAATAGGCACGTTTGTGCAAAGGAAATTGCTTGGAAAATTGCACATATTGCTGCTATGTCTTATCAATTGCTCACCTGCATATAGTACATTTGTCCCTTTACATAAACATATTCTTTGGTAGTAATCAGGTAACAGTGTGACTTTTTTTCTTTTATCTTTTATGTACATAGAATAGAATAGCATTTAATATATATATATATATTGAATTCTTGATGCATTTGCACAGACCTATCATTTACTTCGGTCTAGTAGAATTTAGATTGCAACCTTTCCAACTCTTCTGTCAAGCTAGATTTTTTCAAGGGCATGAAAGAAATGTGAACTTAGAGTCTCAGCTCGAAGTTCGACATCAGCATGGATGCAAAAAGCTTATCTGCAGTTCATCAGATGGTTCAAGTTGACCGCAAGCCTGCAATGCTTAGCTTCTTTGGACAGCCAAGTCATATAAACGAGCTTTAATAGACCATCTTTTTGATCTGGCCTAACATGATCCCTCCGTGCAGCAGAATGGAGATGTTGCAGGGATCGAGTAATACAACTTGAATTTTATTGTTCATCTGTGATAGTCTTTTCCTAGAGATAGAAATATGAAGTTTAAATTCTATCTTTTAACATTGGTTGCGCATGGCATGGAAATCGGGACAGACATTCATCTACAAGAAATTGTGTAAGTTTAGTTATTCGCTTTTGCGTTTCTTTTGTTTCTTTGTTTTCTTTTTTCACCTTCAGATTTTTTTCTATATGTAGAAGTGTATTACTATTAGGCAGGAGCTTCCCATGGAAGGTTTCTGGAAGTTTCTTCATTGCATTGTTTTCCATTCTTACTGGTTTTTATTCTATATTGGGCTCCTATAAGGCCCATTCCTGAATAGAGTAGCAATTAAACTCCTGGTCTTGCTCTTCTGTTCAATAATTATTTCTAAGAATGACATAACATTTTTGGATGCAATGTTTTGAAATCGTTCAGCATAATCATTCTCTCGGCAATTATTGTCTTTTGAGGATTAAAGAATCTATTTCTTTTCAATCTCTCATTTTCTGTTCTCCTCCGGTTTGGTTTGAGTCACAGAGTAAGATTGCATATTTCTAATTGTTTACGAGTAAGAATCTAATAGTGACAATATTTGCTGCCTATAATTATAGTTTCTGTCGCAGGGTGCAAGTGTTGGAACTACAAAGACATGCAACAGTTAAAATTGTCAACCATTCTTCTTAGCATAGAGTATCCCTCTCATTTATTAGTTGTGAAATTGATTTTTACTTCTCTTGAAGAAACTTGGCCATCTATAATCTAAATTAAATTTGCATATTCAATTTATTTTTACCATTGAGAATTTTGGGGGTTTTAGGAATATTTGGCCTTATTGTCTTGAATTGAATATCAATTCTTACTGCCTTAGATTACTTCAAATTTTAGTGAAATTCACCCCAGACCAAGTGCGTGAGACAATCCATGCAGGACAGTAGGAAAATATAAGTTTCCTGTACATTTATCTTCTGCTTTTATTGAGTTAATTTAATTTAGATGATGTAGCCTGTGAAAGGATTCAACATTGAGAGCCATCATCAGTTTTTTGACAAACTAGTAGTGGTTGGCGCACACATTTAGAGTTCTTGTCTAGGTACTTCTAATCCTTACCTTCCATCAGATGAACGCGGATGAACGGCTCACTTCACCGAAGAAAGAGCTGTGTGGGGGCATTTTCAAGTTGTGCTAAGGTACATCCACTTCTTCATGAGATGAAATTAGGAACGGTGGGAGTGGGGGGGCCGGAATTAGTATGCTTAAGAAGACATAATTATGCAACCCTTTTTCATTCTTTCATGGGGGTTGACAGTAGAGACATGACACACCACTTTCCTCTCTTTTTACAGATGCATTTGAAATGGGGCCAACATTCTCTCTCATACCCCATGTCTCTTCGCACCACCTCACCAACCGGGCACAGTTTCAAATATCTATTGGTCAAACACAGTGCGATGGAAAGGAAAAACATCCTTATATCTATATGTTCTGTAACACTGCCAGACAGACTGGTAATACTGTAGAGCACATATATGGTCCTTGAACCCTCATAAAACTCTTATTAATTTGCACTTGCAATTCCTTACCCTATTAGAAGAACAGAGCAACACTGTTTCTTAGCATATTTCCTTGTGTGCATTGTTTTTCAACTGCTGCATGAATATGTTCCCCACCATTACCCCTTCTCTATGTCATATAAATCCCTATCCACTGGTCACTCCATTTTCTCAAAAAAAAGAAATGGGAAAGGTTGAAAGAGAGAGAGAGACAGAAACCCACAAAAAAGGAAGCTTAAATATGCTCTTCTTGTATTTATGATTTTTATCATAATCTAAAAGAGATACTTTTCTTGCGTACTTGTGGTCAAGCAGGTGTTCGTGCTGTAAGGACCCACTGACTATCCTATCAAGCGACAAGAAGCGATGGGCTGAAAGGTTGAAACCTAAGAAGCCATATTGCTCTTTTGTATTGGACATAAACTTCAAGGTCTAATCACTTTGATGCTTTGAATTTGCTTTTGTAGGAACCAGAAACAAATATTATATGAATTACAAGCACTTAGCTTAGCGATGGAAAATCGTTGCTTTGGAATCACAAAACACTTTCTTGTCATCTTCATGATTTTTAAATCTCCTTTTGGTCCATCATGTCAGGTATTTTCTTTTTAAATTAATGTTTATCCTTTGCTACATGCTACACCATAATCAAAATGCATGTTATATGCCTCGGCACAAAGTGTTATACATCACCAGCCATCCAATCCTGGCCTCCAAAAGTAGCCGACCAACAGAAACTTAAAAACTCATCTTATTGGTGATAAAATGTGATTTGTGGCCTCAATCCCAGAATCCCATTGGCTGATTTTTCCTTTTCTTTTCCTTTTCCTGTCTCTTCCAATTTTTTATTTAATATTTCGAAGCAGCGACAATGACTTGCTAATGGTTTTTTCTTACCTAATCAGGAAGTGTACCTTAGTTGGTCTTTTGTTTGGTCACTGGAGTCATCATTATAGCTCTGACTTCCATTTTCTTATCTACGAAACAACGTCAAAATATTGGCAAAATGTTCCATAGATACATCTAATCCGAACCTCGCCTAAAGAAGATGTAGTGGTTAAAAGTAAAGATATCCTATAAAGTTAGAGATAAGATGTTTGATTAATGACTCCATTTGTTGGATAAACAAGAAGCTGAGTCCAGCTAGAACCCAGTTCTTGTTCTTAATTATCTTAGATTCTAAACCCTATTATGCTTTTTATTTAAAGCAATTTGATTTGAAATAACCTTTAATACTAATATTCAGTCATATTTTTCACTTTTCTTATTGTAGTCTGATAGGACAATAATTTGTTGAATAAATATTCTATTAATGTTTTCGAGTTTACTTGAAGCTTAATACAATAATCCCACAGCTCGAATTCTTCTGAATGAAGTCAATATTTAGTTAAATATAAAGGTGATCTCACTGTTGCTCGCAAAAGATGTCATTAATTCATATGAAATGAAAACAAAGCTATAAGAATCTCTAACAATTGATATTCTGACTAAAAGAGCTTCTTGTGTTGCAAATTAATGCTTGATGATTTGGATGTTCATCGTTAGCGTTTGATTTTATGTGAAGCTCTCCTGTCATAAAAATGTGTGATGCCATTTTTGACGATGTTTGGAAGCTTTTCTTTTGCTAGTTCCACAGCATAAACACGTGGATAACCTGAAGTCACTGTAGTTGACTGAAAAGATTCAATGTTAATCATAAATCTTTGGGGGCATTCTTGGCAAGGGACTGTGCACTCAAGCACACAGTGAAGAATAAAAGTGTACCATCGAGCTCCTTATCTCAATAAGTAACATTTTATAGTTTCTTTCACTGTATCCGATTTCTGCAGCAGCTTTGAGATACTGTTTTCATTTACATATTTAATGTCAGGTAATTGGCAAGGGGAGACAGGCCATCATTTGTAATAATGCTGATGATGATCCTGTTGTCGAGGAAAACATGCATGGAATGAACTACGTGTCGATATGAGGCAAATTAGCTTCAAGGGAATGGAGAGAGACTGGAAAGCATCGCAGAAATTAATCAAGTATCTGACCACCCTATTATGCTTGTTCTTTTTTTTAGTGGAGGAAGAATTATGCATGCACACCAACTTTAAATTACTGTTCTTTTGGTCGATTTAGACGAACATTTCTTTACTCTCCCTACCAAGTTTAAATTCATTGCATATCACCGAAAGAATTTTAACATAGTTGACGACAAAAGACTCCTCTTTTTTTCTTTTTTTCCTCTCTATATGTTATTCGGATGACCACCACCATAATTCTTCTTTCTTTATTGACTAAATATAGCATTTCAATTCTTGAACTATATACTATTTTTTCAATTGTCTTTCTTGAAATATTTAGGAGACTGAAGAATGATAATATATATATTTTAGGTAGGAAATGTGACATATATTTTGTCTTATTTTTTTCTTAGTATATAGAATTATTAATAACTGTGGATGTCAGAATAGTTCCCACTTCTCAGTATATTTATTTCTGTCTGAATATGTTTTGAAACATGTTATTGATATAATAATGTCAGACATTGCTTTGTTCCCTAGTAGAGACTGTTTTTACCTCATCATTTACACAGAAGACAATGGTATTTTTACATGTGAACCTTGGCATGTAAAGGAGGAACACCTGGAGGTATAGCTTAATTTCATCACATGCTTCATATTTCCACATTGTTTTTCTTGTTTGAACATGATTGTTGAAGGTCATTATTTGTTTGTTTTCTTCGTTGCTTTTTCTTGGATATTAATAATGAAAAGTGCCCCCATTGAAGCAGGTTAAAGCTGAGAGACCATCAAATCTGCCATGAATTGAAAGCTACGTGTCAATTTTTGGTTAGTTCTATTTTAATTCTTATTGATCTTTCAATAAAGCTTAGATTTAGTCACTATGACAGTTTTTCTTTGTTCATTTAAAAAAAAAAAAACAACTATTGGTTATCTTAATAAATTATTTTATTAATTTAGATTATAAAAATTACTTGAAATAAGATGCAATTTCAATCGACGGTAGTGTGTCTTTCTGTCTAAGAAATGGTTGTGTTAACTCATAATTTTGTGCCTCTTCTAAGTTGGGAAACGTGAAACCCAACCTCTAAAGCTTGTTCAACTGTCCATGAAAATAGTAATAATCAATCCTATTAAACTAAGTTGTACATTTTGTAATTAAATTATAGGTTGAGCATGTCCATTTTGACCGAGCAATATAATACACTCCACTTTTCCCCATCAGATAGATCTCTCTTCTTGTACGCCGTATGTTCTGAGAATTGTAACCCCTCTTTTTTATTGTTGTGTTGAGCTGACTTAAAGAGTTTTAAGTTCGAGTTAAATCAATTGAGTTTTTAAGCTGAATTATATTTTAATGATTAGATGATAAATTTGACCTAAAGTACAAGATAGATTTATAAACTCAACTCTAATGCCTCTTTTAGTGTAGCATCTATGATTTTTGGAGCTATTGTTCAAAATTTCACGGGTGAAACATATGCTTTCTTTGGATGTAAAAGTCTCGAAAATTTATTGGGTTAGTGGAGATTGCTAAGATAGTTACACTCTTGGGTTTGCACCGTGAAACCATCCATAGGTTGAGATTTGTTGATTGTTTGCAAATTGTTAATAGGCTCAAGTCTTTGTTCGAACATACTAACAGAGATGCTTCATTCATGGCTTTCTTTTTAATCGAGAGAGTTGTAACTCTGATGTTTATGATCTAATATGTTGGGAAGATGATCAACATTTTTGATATACGGATTGAAGGGGTCTTGCTCCCTCGACTGATTGCGCTGTGTCTAGAATTATCCATTCCTTTAATTATAATTTTTGTTCGTGTTAACTAAAAAAAGGCTTATAACTTGAATCGCCGGTAGATCCATAAATTTGCATGTGAGATTAGGGGATTGAGTATACTCAAAACCACATATAAATGTATAATCTCAAGAGAGTCAAAATTGGCCATATCTTAATCAGTTTCATAAAATTCATGTTACAAATTATTAATTAATACAGTCTCTTAGCCATTCACATTGAGGGCAGCATCCTTAACGATTTGGTTTCCATTCTTCCTTTATCGATCCCATACATCTTGAATTGGTTACATGAAATTTAAGGGACCACCATTTTTTTTATTTTCGATCTCTTCAAAAATATTTATATTCATGCTCTAATATATATAAATAATAGTTCGTTTCACTAAGATTCGATTCTCGATTCACGATTTAAAATGGTGGGGTTTTAGTAGAAATGTACATAAAGATAGATCGATTTTTTGGGATCTTTCCTTTCTTCAAACGAAACAAACATAGATAAAATCATAACCACCGATTCCTTAAATGCTTTTCTGGATATTCCTCAATGTTTCGGCTATTCATGGAACGTGAGAAGTAGATGATTCCTTAAATGCTTTTCTGGATATTCTTCAATGTTTCGGCTATTCATGGAACGTGAGAAGTAGATGAATAAATCATCTACTTTCGAAAGAAATCAAAGAATTTCTCGGAAATCCTACAAGATCCATTCATTCTTTCTTCTTGAGAGGTTATTCTATTGGAATTTTTTTTGAACTCATTCAAAATGACGGGAGCAACTCAATTAGAGTTCATAACCCAACCCAATTATCTATTTTTGGGTTAAGTTGTCAAATTATTTTTTTATTATTAATAATTAAAATCTCATAAAATTTAAATATTAAACATTTATAAGTCACAATGTATCAATAATATTGATTACGAAGGTTAAGTATTTTTAATCTTTATAAAAATATGGTAAGTTTGGGTTGGATGGTAACCCTAAAGTGGGTCGAGTAGACCTAACAAAAAAAAAAAAAAACGACAAATAAACATAATTCAAAATTTCAAATTTCTCCCATCATCATACAAAACAATATTCTAACATTACAGTTTCAACTCAACTGTTCCGAGTCCTCGAGCCAACTTTCAAAGATTTACATTCTTGCCCCTATATATAATCAAATCTACAATTGTTACGTTCGAGTAAAAGAGAAATATATGAATGAACCGAAAACATATCCACATGAAAATTATTATGACCGACAATCTTCATAAAATTAAATTTGTTATGACCGACAATCTTATACTCTTAATGGTTGGGAAAACAATATGAAGCATCCCATTTGTTGAGGGCCTACGTGTGTGTGGGTGCACCCTCCCTCACCCCACAATTTCTCCACCACTTTAAAAGCTAAAATTAAATGGCTTCTTCTCATCGGTTTTGTTGTTCTAATTGTTTTTTTTTTTTTTTAATTTTAAAAAAGGAAAAATAAATAAAATAAAATGATTAATAAGTGAACCTTTTTGGGGATATGGTTGGGGAACCACGCCGGCGGTCGGGAGTTTGACCGCCGCACTCCGGCCGCCCGTCCACTCAGCACGTGATCTCCAGATGGTGGTGACACAAAAGTCGCCGGTCAAACCCTCCAATTATTGGGGTCTCGACACGTGTCCCACTCCTTTCCATACATAAATCTAGTGGATCCTCTACATCTCTAACGCCCGACCAATATGAAACGACATGTCGACTTAAATAAAACATTAAATTATCAAATAATATATTTTTTTTTTCCTTTCAAAACTTATAATATACCATTATTTTTTTTATACTATTAAATATAAATGCAATAAAAAAATAATTTAAACTATTAAATATCCCAATTTCCGACTCTCAATTAAAAAAAATTATGCTTTCTTTTCTAAAATCAAATGTAATATTAAGAATAAAAAGAACAAAAAATTTAGGATTTGTTTTTTAATTTTATAATTTCACTTGTACTTATTTTATCACATATTTAAATACAAAATTTAAATCAATATCAATTTAATTTAATTCAATATGTGTCGACACTTGTCTTCTAGAGAGAGATTTTCACACCTTTATAAGAAATGTTTCGTTTCTCTCTCCAATCGACGTGAAATCTCATAATCCACCCCCTTCGGAGCCCATCGTTCTCACGGCACATCACCCGGTGTCAGCGATGGGTTTGACTTGTTACAACGAAACCCTAACCACCTTCTTTACTATTGAAGCCAACAACAACAAAGGAAGAGAGTTTTACCTAAACCCAAATTAAAATGATCTTTGACCAAAGAACTCCAAACCCTAAACTCTAAATCGAGATCTCACCATTCACTCCCCTTTGGGGCTTGTCGTCCTCACTAGCACACCACCCAGTGTCAGCAACAGGCTTGGACTGTTACAACGAGACCCTAACAACCTTCTTTACTACTGAAGCCAACAACAGCAAAGGGAGTTTTACCTACACCTATATTAAAATGATCTTTGACTAAGTAACTTCAAACCCTAAACTCGAAACTGAGATCTCACAATCCACCCCTTTTCGGAACCCATTGTCTTCACTGGCACACCTCCCGGTGTTAACGGTGGGTTTGGCTTGTTACAACGAGACCCTAACAACCTTCTTTACTACTGAAGCCAACAACAACAAAAGAAGGGAGTTTTCCTACACCCAAATTAAAATGATCTTTGACCGAAGAACTTCAAACCCTAAACTCGAAACCCTAAACTCTAAGATATTCCAACTCAACTAATTAGTCTACAGTAAACCCACATAACAAAAGTGAAACAAAATACAGATACATCTTAGCCACTGAACCAATTACATCGATACTCTCCACCTTACGAACTCAATAAGTCAAAAACAAGTAAAACGTAAAGAACCCATCGAGATATTTCATAAAAAATCAACGTCGTCACAATTATAAGAAGAAAAAGAGGCAACAAACTCAATTATATGCATCACAACATTGATAAAAAGAGAAAAGAGGGTAAGTTAGTACCAATTATTTGGGCATTGAAAAGGCTCCAAAATGGGTTTGACACACACCACACTTCTCTTGTCCCATTTTTGGGGGGAAATTTTGTAAAAAAATAACCCTTATTCACACCTTACTTTATACACTTATGAACAAAAAAAGGTCACATTTTTATTAGAAGATAAGTGTTCTTTGCATGCCAGCTAAGCATCAACCCTTTTTTGCCTTTTAATAATCCCAATTAAATACTAATTAATTAAATTAACCCTAATTCTTATATGTTAATTAGTTCATGAAATGGTTTCCTTACGAGGTAAATAACGAGTTATTATAGTTATAGCAAAAATTAACCTTTAAGCTTGTATGAGTGACGGAGCTAGCTCCTACCTTATTATCGGGTCGAGTTTTCTATCTATTTCGAGTGTTAGTACAAGTAACTTTCAGAGTTGGTTTGTATCGAGTGAGAAAAAAAGCAAAACAGTGGAAACGGAGATCGAAGAAGAATCGGGTTTTGAGGTTGTAAAAGGTTGTGGAGTTCAAAAAAGACGAGAACTTTCCGTCCATTTGTTTAAAAACGGAAGTTGTTAAGAGCCCAATTTATTGCTCGATCGATATTTTAGATTTTTTGAGAAAAAAGACGAACTTTTCTTTTTCGAAAGAGAAACGCGTGAGAGAGAAGAGAATACTAATAATAATAATAAGACAACATAAAGTACATTTTTTTTAACAAAAATTTACTTTTGTTTAAATAGTGACTAGATGGAAAGTCGAATCATCTGAGTGTGGAATTTTTTTGACCTAACGGATAATAATTCAAATATAAATTAACTTTTTTGTTATTTCAGAGCTCGTGATATTTGCACGATGAGCTTTATAATAAAGTCGAGCTCTAATTTATATTAGTGGGAGAGCAATGAGGTGGATTGATATGTACATATTTGCACCCGAGTAGGGACTAGGGAGAATATTCATCATAAACATATAGTCCTTTGAGGGCTATGCATTACCTTAGTGGGAAATTATAATATAGTCCAAAGTCACATGAAAATGTTATAAGTTACCCACATATTTATCATATAATATGATCATAAATCATATAATATATAATTTCTCTCACATACTCCATGTTTCTAACACATGTAATAAAACTAAAGTCTCGCTTATTATTATTATTATATTTTTAATAAATATTAAAAAAAAATTACCTTTAAAAATATATGTTTTAATCTATTAAACTTAAAAATGGTTATTATTTATTAATTTCATTTTTAAAAAATATTAATTCATATAAATTATCAAATATTCATGCAGTTATAGATTTTAATTATATTTATAATTGGTAAAAAAAAATCATTTTTATTCTTGATTTTTTTGTATGTGCTAGGAGAAGGTTTCCACACCCGATTTGTTCTCCTCCCTAAGTTATGTGGGACATCCCACATTGGTTGGGGAGAAGAACAAACCACCATTTATAAGGGTGTGAAAACTTTATCTACCAATAGTGGATTTAGGCCGTTATAAATGGTATCAGAGCCAGACACCAGACGATGTGTTAGCCTTCTCGCTCTTCCCCGAAAGGGGTGGACTTGGGGGTGATCCCACATTGATTGGAGGATGGATAAAAGTGCCAGGCTAGGTCCCAAAGGGGGTGGTCAACCATTTATAAGGGTGGCACATTAATTGGATAAAAGTGCCAGCGAGGTCGCTGGGTCCCAAAGGGGGTGGTCAACAACCATTTATAAGGGTGGTACATTGATTGGAGGACGGATAAAAGTGCCAGTGAGGACGCTGGGTCCCAAAAGGGGTGGTCAACAAGAGAACAAACCACTATTTATAAGGGTGTAAAAACCTTCTCCTAGTAGACCCGTTTTACGAAGACAGAGTTAAAGAAGGTGGTTCGTGTCCGTCCTTCCTTCACTAGTGAAGGAGAGAAACAAAATGAAGACTCGTTTTAAAGAAGACAATATCTGTGACATTTTTTAATTT